TATATGTGTGTGTGTGTGTGTGTGTGTGTGTGAGTGTTGTTTTAACATTGTATTCATATGGTTTAAACAAAAAAAGAACATTCATTCCAGTTTTCAGTAAAAATTTACATTTAAAGACTCTAAAACCACGGTGATGTAACCATCAACATTTTCCTTACATCTGCACACATTTCAATTTCCATTTTTTTTTCTCAGTTTTAACATTTTTAGTCTTCGAAAGGAAAAAAAAACAAAACAAAAAAGTAAAAAAAAAATTCTAAAAATGAATATTAATTAATAAATAAAAAATATATAATGCTTATTAGAACATACGCAGTCAAATATTAATAAATAAATAAATGATTACTGTAGATCTGTAAATAAATAAATAAATGCTATGTCATTGACCCCAGTCCACAGTTAAAATGTTATTATTTATCTACACCTTAATATAGCTTATGTATAATTTAGCTGGGTTGTTTTGAATTTATCCTACATTGTGCTTAGCAACAAAACAGCTTTGGCCTTCTTTCCATAGTGAGCGAATTTACCCAAACTCTCAGATCATAACAGCAGTCTCTCGCTCTCGCTCTCTCTCTCTCTCTGTCTCTGTCTCTGTCTCTGTCTGTCTCTCTCTCTCTCTCTCTCTCTCTCTCTCTCTCAGTCCAGCTGTTTCCTGAAGCAGTAGCTGCTGCATCCCAGACCTGTCTAACATTCACCATTCAACATGCTACTGGTCACCTCACAGCACTTCCTGTTTGCGTTTAGTCATTTCCTGTTCTCGCCTTGCAGGGGGGTCTGTTGGTTTTAGCAAAACCCTCGGTGAGGCTGGAGAACAGAGGGAAAAAAATCCCACATGTTTCCTCCCTTTCTGTCTCTCTCTCTCTCTTACACAATACTGTCTGGGATCTGTAAACGTACAGCGCTGTTACTGTACATGCTCTGGAAAAATCACATGTTGTTTCATTCATGAAAAGAATTGCAGAAATCACCAACCAGCGTGTAAAGCTCTCGTAAATACTGAGGCTCTGATTTAACTGGCATGATAAATCAGAGTGGAACATGACGATTTTGCTTTTATTTATTTATGTATTCAATTTTTATTTCATAAAGCCAGCTGCACATCTAGAAAAATACAATAAGGGATATACAACGACTCACTTTGGCCGCAAATCAATGTGAAACATTCCAAATAAAGAGAAATGTAACTCCAAAAATAGGATCTGCCATTATGTGTGCACCCTCATGTAGTTATTGTTGTTTGTTCCTTGGAAGACATAGTTCATGTAGCTCTTTTCCATATAAGAACATCTCATATGTTCTGGAAATATCACAATTTTTCTTTTTTGTGTTCAACTGAAAAACAAACAAACAAACAACAGTATACGGTTGTGTAAACAGTGTTACTTTTAAACGTAACGCATTAGAGTATTGTGTTACTCCCTAAAAAAGTAACTTTAG